CTAGAGTATTCAATGTAAATAGTTTTATATTACATTGTTTAGAAAATAAGCAAAAGTATGTCTAAATATATTCAACAAATAGCTACACTCTGAATATTTGAGTTATGTGTGATTGAATAAAAGGGTTTGAAACCAATGATACAGGACTTATTTGTTTCTCAGAAAACTTACACTTATGGGGACAGAAAAACATGGTAGCACAACACCAGCTCAAAATTATATTACAAAGACATATTAAGAAAAACAGCCTCACATAGGCACAAAAACAGATACTTAAACCAATGTAATTATGTGACAGAAAGGAACCTACACAATTACAGTGACACATAATTTTGACAAAGCTGTCAAAACATCCATTCTAGAAAACAGATTCATCAATAAATACTTCTGGAAAAAACTGCATGTCTATTCGTATAAAAATGAATATATTTCTATGCTAAACATAAATCAACCTAAATTTCATCTACTTTTAATTTAATCTTATCTTAATGAGGTGCAGAAACTATGGAAGCATTCAGCAAGACAAAGGGAACTTTAAGGTGCATACTTAGGACATCATGAAGAGTATTTGAGTAGAAAATAAATCCCTAAAATTGACAAACATGATTAGATGAAATTAAAGGATTCCACACAGTAAAGGAAACAATAAGGAGAGGAAAATAATCTTTGTCACATTTGTGTCAGAGAGGAGACTAATATTCAGAATGCACAAAACTCTTATTTTTATATGTTAAACACAAAACATTAAAAGGACATTTCTCTGATATTCTTGATTGTAAGCCTAGCCTACAATGGCTGAGTGATCACTTCATCCAAATTTTAAATGTTTAATGTAGAGAGAATCCTTCCTGCCAGAGCCACATCAGTCCTAAATGAACACACAGGATGCTATATTAATTATGAAGCTGTTTGCCTTGCTTGTTTCCTATTGGCTAGCACGGAATTAAGTATTTACTCCATCATTGTTAATCTAAGTATTTCTCTTACAGGAGAAAAGGGTCCAGACTTCTTACCCCTATGGTAGCTACATGATGACTCCCTGTGTTTCTCCTTCCCAGAGTCCTCCTCAACTCCTAGTCCCACCTATCTTGCTTCCCTATTGGCCAACAGTGCTTTATTGACATATACACAGGACTTCCCCATCATCTCCTCTTTTCTGTCTAAAATTACTTCAACATCCTCAAATTATATATAACAGAACAGTTATCAAGTAAGAATATAGTTACAATATTTGTCCAGAAACATTTAGTAAGATTTAAAGAAAATATCATCTATCTTATCATTATGAGTCTAAAGTCTTATATTTAGCTTATCTTTTATCATAACTAAGGAAAACTATGATGATAACTATCTATCTTCAACTCCATCAAAGACCACAGAAAGATAATATATAAACACCAGAATTGACAGAGACATCTTGCTACCTGGACAGTCACCTGGAATTCTGCTGTAATGTCGGGACATCCATCTTCAGCCCACAGGCCACAATGTGTCCAGAAGACTTCTCAGCAAAGCAGAAAATTTCAAACTGTCCATCTGCACTGTCAGTCTGTCAGTCATTTTTCTGTGTCCTGCAGAATGTCTGACAGACTCTTCCATGAAGCAGGAAACCTGAAGAGGACTGTTTGAGTTCAGCAGTAACTTTCCTATGGGTCCGCCATGTCCAGACTGCAACAGTCAAGCAGTCCAGGCAAGAGCAGTTTCTTGCCCAAATGGCTAATCTTGTCATGTTGAAAGCAAACTCCATAACAAGTTTCTTCGATGCCCATCTTCCTCTCAGCCAAATCATATGGAAAAGACACTCTTCAACTGTTTCAACCACTATAGGTTCTGAAGAGCTTATCACACAATGCTTATTAATTAATCCACTGTAATCACTAATGACTGACTGTTCCCTCTTGGCACATTTACAACCTGTTTGTATAATATCTGATGAAACAGTAATCTCATTCACATATTGCTAAGTTTGAAAAATGTCAAGAAAAGACCTCAAGCTGTGTGGTATTTGTTAAAATCAACTTCTCTATTCCAGGACACCCTTAAAGACAAGGCTAAGATCAGCCAGAACAACAAATTCCTCAGCTGTCCACATATGACTATGTGTGCCTCGCTTTCTCTTCTCCTCCTTCTCTGGCCTTCTCAGTACAAAATCTAGCAAAACCATACATGGTCAGGACCCCTCATTTCCATGTTGTATCTGCAGATAGTAGAAAACCATCCTGTCAATATAGATTTGTGTAACATGAATTAGTAAAAGACACAGAAACTATTATTAGGATTCAAACTTCAAGTTGAATATCAGAAAAGCAAAGAAGCTGGCCACTAACTTCTTACCTCTACCTCAGGCTAAATAGGCTGATTCTGTCCCACTAACTCTCACCAAGTCTCAGACTGCATCGTCTTGTCTGCATGATTGGAAAATGAATACCCCTACTGACTAATAAAGATCCTGCTTTTATCTTTTCTAACCCTCTAGTGCTGGGATTAAAGGCATATAATCTCTTTTAGATTGATTTAATCTCTTATACCTCACGGGAAGCCCTGAACTCAGAAAGATTCGTCTATTTCTTAATCCTGAGTCCTAGGGTTAAAGTTGTGTACCACCACCTCCTAGATTCTGTCTACTAAGATTAAAGGTGTGTGTTACCACTGCCTGATCTCTATACATTGAGGCTGACTTTGTTTTTCTTAATCTCCAGGAAAACTTTAATGAATCATAAATAATACATCACTACAGATTGAACCATATTCTGAGGAGTCAATGGTTCCCTGTCTTCATTTTACTTCATGAGTCTTGTGAGAATGTCTCTGGTTTTCATAGAACCAGAAAGAATTAACACATGCTAACACATTATCTCTTCAGAATACATCTATTATCTACCTGGTGACACTATATAATTTCACAGCATCTGTGCAAAGGACATTTTTCACTGACATTTTTTCTATACTATTCAAAATGCACTGTCAGGCACATTGATATGCACAGTGCAGGAAAGTGTTCCACAATGGATATAGGATAATCTAAGTTTACAGTCAGATGACATTTCCTGCTTTACCTCATCTAAATTGTCTTCAAATTTCTACCAGGCCCCACAAAACACTAAGTAATAATGGCAGCCCAACAAAGTCTCAGACATGAAAAGGCAGCTATTTACAAACTCTGTTGTGCACCTCCCACAGTCAAGTGACTCCAATTGAAGCAGAACACGGAAAAGTATCATAGAAAAAAGTAACACTACAATCCATAAAATAACCAGTTAAACATGATATCTGCTAACCATTTGTTTGCTAGTTTAATTTTCAACACAAGGTTTCCTTGTGTAATAGTACTAACTGTCCTGTTACTCACTTTGTAGACCTGGTTGGGAGCACAAAGAGATGCATCAGTCTCTGTCCCTGATGGCTGTGATTAAAGGTATGTGAAACCACAAATGGTTATCTGCTAACCATTTTTAAAAAAAAAAGAAACTACGCTCATGTGGACTAAAGAAACTATCTTTTGTAGTTCACATCTGGCCTCCTAAAATGAAGAACACTGGTAGAAGAACAGCAGTGAAGCAATGAATCCAAATCACAAGAAAGCTAAATAACAAAGAAGACATAAAATGGAAAGATAAATCAAGGGATTCACTGGAAATGTAAGAAGCAGAGAGATGGTGCTGGCAAAGCACATCAGTGGGTTGTATGATCTTAAAATCATCAACAGGTCAGGATGGAAAATATCTGAGCACTGCATGTCAGAACATGGCAAATGTGATTCACCATGTTAAAGATCAGTCAATGAAAGCCAACCCATGGAGACTGTGAAGGTGCTGTCAGACTATTTGTTCATGACTCTAGCCAATCAAGGGTCAATGTCACAGTTGAACTGACATAGTCAGAGCATGCAGACTCCAGTTGAAAAGATCGGGTAAAAGCATTGGACTGAAACAAGCCCTCTGAATGTTGGTGCCAGCTAGGAGGAATGGGCAGTCTAGGGGACCTCTAATAGTGGTGCCAATGTTTATCCCTATAGCACAAGTGAAATTTTGGAGCCCATCCCCACTATTGTAGCCCAGATATGGGAAGAAGGGCCTGGGACCTCTCCCAAATAATTTGAAGGACTATGATGGTCACCCAGGACAGCCTCAGTATCACTGGGGAACAGGTGGGGTGATTTGGGCATTGGTGAGGAGCAATCGACAATGGGAGATCCAGGAAATGGGGGACTGATATGTAAACAAGAATACTTCTGAATTAAAAAAGAATAATTCCTGAAGAAAATAATACCAAAACATAATCTAATTCAGTCCTAAAAACAACAATTAAAAAGTTGGTGTTCAGATGTCTTCTGAGAAAAACAATATTAATGAGTCATGTAAAACTGGGTGCACATGGATTACCTGGTTCTACAATTACATGGGCTCTCTACTACCACTCCTCTTTATCTAACACCAAAGAACAGACTATTCCATCTTCTATTTCTATGATAAACTGCATACTGGGAAATCTTGACAGACTGTCTAGGCCCAAACAGGTTATACATCCCTACTGGGTGAGCTAACTCCCTACAGAACTAAACAAATCAATCAACTAAGTGTTATAGGCATGTAACACATGCCAATAACACAATGAACATAATTTTGCACCTTTAGTCTCAGTGACAGGAAGAATATGGACAAAATTATACAGGTATGTAGAAGCAAATCCTCCCACAATCATACCTAATAGGTCAGAGTCAGAGTTATGTCAATAACAGTGACTTAAACAATGATAGGCCTTAAAGGACAATAGACTTATTGATAGAACTATATATCTAATGTCTAGACTTTGCCTGTATCACTTAAATATTGTTGTCAAAATTTCACATTGTACCATAGAGAACTGAAACATTGACTGCATCCTGCTGGGCTAGAGTCCCAAAGAAAAGTCAGTGATGCAAAGTATCCTGCTGTGTCAGGTCAGATCAATAGTGAGGACATGAAAGGTGCCATTGTTCTGCCTTCCTTATAAAGATTTTGGCCTTGCTGGCCCCAGCACAGACTTGGGAGCAACTCCAGAGCCTCCTCCAAGATGCTGGTGGTCCTACTAACAGCGGCCTTGTTGGCCCTGAGCACGGTTCAGAGCTCAAATGCAGGTATGAAGTAGGGGAAAGGGTGGTACAGTGGCATGAGACTTGAACAACAAACTGAAGTTCAGGACTGGGAGGAAAGGAGAAAGATGAACAAGAAACTGATGCAAAAAATAGGAGAACAAATATTAGAAAACTTATATTATCATTTTGTCTGTTGATCTTTACTTATGGTATCATTTAAGAATATAATCTTGCAACAAAATAACACAAGTGCATTTGTCAAAATAACATTTTGTTGGTGGATGATGGAAGACAGTGTTAGAGGGTAGTCTCATGACAGAAGGAACACAATTCTTAATATGCTATGAGAAGCAGGGTTTAATTATGTTAACTTTGGTGTTTGGAGGATAGAGAAAAATGAAAGAAGTAAACATATACCAGAAATATTTTTGAGAAAAGAAAAAGATAATGAATTTGAAAATTTGTACAAAAGGAGCTTGAAACATCAGGGGATAATTTTTGAAGACTATTTTAGTGTATGTGTGTACATATATAGATATTGATATAGATGTAGATAGACACTAAGAGAGAGGGGGAGAGTTTGCATGCTTATTACATTCCAGTCAGAGGACAACTACATACAACTACACACATAGACATAGAGAGATATATTTAAAAATTCTTTCAGTGCACAATTGTCTGTGTTGGTGTATATGTGTGTGAGAGAGAGAGACACAGAGAGAAACACATACAGAGAGAGACAGAGTGAGAGAGAGAGAAAGAGCATACTTATTTACATTCCAGTCAGAGAACAACTATTGGGAGGAAGTTTTCTCTTTCTACCATATGATTAAAAAAATTGGTTTCAAATCATCAGCAAGTACTTTTTATCCAATGAGATTCCTTACTGCACCTATTTCTCTATTTTAGTGTTGCATAGGCAATATGCATTGTTCTATACATGGTGTTTAAAAGAAAGTTTATTCACATTTTCGCGAATAAAATGTCTGTGAATATACCACATAGGAAGTGGAGGTCATAAATAAAAGCATAAATAATGTAAACCAGTTGTAGTGACAGAAGAGTGATGAACAAAGGATTCATGACCATGGTGGGGAAACCCACAGAAACAGCTGACCTGGGGAAGTGGGAGCTCATGTACCACCGTCAGACAGCTGGGGAACCAGTATAGGACTGAAACTGGCCTACTGAACTTTGGTGACAGGTAGAAGGCCAGGGCAGATTATGGGGCCTCTTATAGTGGAATCAGTATTTTCTGTTAGTGCAAAAATGGAGTTTGGGAGCAGATTCCCTATTGAGGTCTACTCTATCAGCCTAAATACAGCAGGGAGGGCCTATGTCCCACCCCAAATGATGTGACATACTTTGCTGATCTCCCATGGAAGGCCTCACTCTCATTGGGGAGTGGATAGGAAGTATTATGGGGATGGGGGAGAGATATGGGAGGATAGGAGAGAGAGGTTACTGGGATTGATATGTAAAATAAGATTTTTTTCAAATTTAATTTAAAATATGAAACAGAAGAAATAAAACAGTACTGAAATTAAAAAAATACTAGAATGTACATGAACAAAAAGAGAAAGATAATAAGGAATCGAATAGTGGCTGCTCCTGATCATAAAAACTATTATGGAAGCATTATCAGCAACATTACCCAAGAATAAAATTCTACTTAGTGATGTGAAGCTATGGTTGAAAACCCTCTTTACTGGGAAGCCTGAGAATGTCATAATTAACCTTAAACTTGCTTTATGCTTATTTCCTAGCGACCATTTATGAAGACTCTATATCACAACTTTCAGGTAAAGCCAGATTCATCCTCTATGGACATTCTGTGCAACCTTTATTGTTTTAAATATTCGGACATGTAAAGTCTCTGAATCATTTTGTTTTTTATGAAATTAATGTGTTACAGCTTCCTCTGATATAGGCAGTAAAAATTCCCAACATTGTCTCTAGGACCTAGATCAGGACTATACACTGGAATAGGAGAAAGCCAGGTTTTATGAAAGGAACTTTGTGTCTCTTCCACAGATTGAAGTAATGTCTTGCATATGATGAGAATATTGGGTTTCCTCATTTAAATTCCATAATGGCACTCTTTCACCAGTGAGTCCACACAGAATTACATGCTCAAACCAAATAGCTGACTAATGTGTAAAAAGACACTGCAAAAAAATTGAATGAAATGTCTTGTCGTTCCTTTCCTACATTTGTTTCTTGTTCTCCATTACAACAGGGGCCTGAACAGCATGATATATTTGAGGAAAGAACATTTCTGTCACAATTTTGCCAGTGTGCCACTTTTAAACAGTAACATTTACAAATTGTACTATTTTCTTCACTTCTGTCTGAAATTGTAAGGAACACAATATCACATTTCATGCACAAAATTTAAGAAAAACATTGGTCAAAAGAATTGAGACATAAGACAGCTCGTATGTTGAGTGTAAAATTAAGCTCAGGAGTAGCCATGGACATAGACCTGGGAGGGTGATCTAGGAGAAAGAGAAGGTGTGAACTAGTACTCTATTTATCTGTACCCCTGCAGAGGAAGAGCAGCAAGGCCAAGACCCTGGTCAACTTCACCAGAGACCTGGGCAATTCCCCCCACAACCTTCTGCATCTGATGAAGAAGGTGATGATGATGGTGAAGAAGATGGAAATGCACCAGAGGGACCACCACAGCAAGGAGGTGACCACCAGAAACCTCGCCCTCCTAAACCTGGAAACCAGCAAGGCCCACCCCAGCAGGAAGGCCAGCAGCAGAACCGCCCTCCTAAACCTGGAAACCAGCAAGGCCCACCCCAGCAGGAAGGCCAGCAGCAGAATCGCCCTCCTAAACCTGGAAACCAGCAAGGCCCACCCCAGCAGGAAGGCCAGCAGCAGAATCGCCCTCCTAAACCTGGAAACCAGGAAGGCCCACCCCAGCAGGAAGGCCAGCAGCAGAATCGCCCTCCTAAACCTGGAAACCAGGAAGGCCCACCCCAGCAGGAAGGCCAGCAGCAGAATCGCCCTCCTAAACCTGGAAACCAGGAAGGCCCACCCCAGCAGGAAGGCCAGCAGCAGAATCGCCCTCCTAAACCTGGAAACCAGGAAGGCCCACCCCAGCAGGGAAGTGAGGAGCAGTCAACTTCCCTGTAGACATTTTCTGCATAATCAAGAGGTTCCATGGCAGTGCAAAGGTAATCAGATACATTATCATTCATACCAACCCCCAAACTCCATAGATCAGCAACATCTTCCTAAAGGCATATATACTTATGAATATTAAATGGCTCCTATAACTTAGGATTCTATGATTTCTGTGATATAAACTCTATGTCAAATGCCTTAACTCTTATTACATAATTAGAAATCTATAGAAAACAAAGAGAATCTTCAGGAAATGCTGGAATTTTACATTGTGTTTTCATTCTCCATGACTTTTTAAAAATTCATTTGTTTCAGGTGAAGTAGAGGACAGATAACCTTTAATGTCATTTCAATGGAACAATGATGTTGTAAGTGTACCTTCAACATTCTAATAAAACATTTAGCACGGGATTACTCTTTGCTGTTTCTTCTGAGCATGAGTGAGTGAAATCTGGAGCATGTGGCCACATGCAAGGTGATTATAGACAAAGTCTTAAAGTTACTTAGGGAAGGGGATCCTCTTTCTCTCATTACATATCAACCAACTCCCTTTGGAGAGATTCCCTTACCCCAAGTTCTGCTCACAGCTTTTCTGTATTTCCCAGATACCTATGATGTCAGCAGGAGAATTCACAAAAGACATGGATTTCAAGATCTAACTACTAAACAAATTAGCCTACATAAATATGTTCTGGGTATGTCATGTGTCTTGTTTGAACAGTACACTAGGGAATAGCTACCTAGGATTACCTGCAAAAGGGTTCTTGGTTTTTCACAGGTAACACGCTCTCAGTTCATAATCTACATTTGAGAAATTTCCTGTTCTGCAGCTACTATTATGAGCATTCAAGAATCAACTAGTTCACATTCTTTCTCTGACTTGGACAGTCTGATAAATGCTTTGGTGTCTAGGAGACATGATGTTTAATCTTTTCTTCACCCTTATTATTTTACAAATATCATAAACTTGGGCATGAGGAGTGAATGAAAAAATTAAATAGTTTAAGTATATTTTAAAACAGTCTTTCAATCTAATTTTGTTGAGTTTGCAGTTAAACGTACATTTTTTTTGCATTTTGTGGATCTTAATTAAAAGTGAAAAAATAAAATGAATAGAAGCTCTAGTGACTGAGGAAGCTTTAAAACGTCCACAATTTTTGAGCCTTGATTCATAGAAGTTTAATTTGCTGTCCTTTGAATGATCTCTTCAAATTTTATTCCTTCACCTAATGAGATCCTTTTCTCCCTCTAGTCACAGAATTATTTATGAAAACTTAAGTGACTTTTGTGGAAGTTTCAGAGGAGTGGAGACTCAGAAATAAAAATTGTGGTCATTTGGACATGTTAACAATCAGTCTGCTATGTATATTGTTTGGATGGCCATTAATCCACTATAGCAGGGAGAAGTGTAGATGGAATACTAGGATTTGTTAAGATTTGTATGTAGTATCATAGAGACATGCGAACTATATTCATCTACAACATTAGTGAAACTGTGTATCCTGGTGAAACCACTCATTTTCATGGTTGCATTCTGAGTGAGTGATTCATCAAACACCCCTGTGTTCTAGATGAGTCTTCTGCTTACTTATTAACAGGATTTGCAAGCCTAAAACAACATTGTCACCAACCCTAATGACTATACTATTTCTTTCATAATAAGGGAGGGAAATCTCTTTGGGGAAGTCCCAAGAAACTCTGGAACCTGCCAAATTTACCTGAAAGACATAGCTTGGGGTTAAATGTAGGAAAGATTTTTGAAAACATCTTCAAATAAACCGAAATAATAGGTAGTTCTGTGGTCTTAAATTAATTCCAGAACTTGAGACGCAGAGGCAGGTGGATCTCTGTTAGTATGAGGACATTTTAGTCTACAAGAGGAATTCCAGAACAGTCATGGCCATGAAACAGAGAAAACCTGCCTCAACTGCCCCACAAAAGCAACTAAATTATGGAAATAAACACATGTTAAAAAACAATAATACATGAAACATACCATAAATTACTCAAGTGAAAAATATTTTTAGGAATATTATCAGGAAAATACAAGAATTGAGCTTACTCTAAGATAAAAAACAAACTCAAGACCCTCAAGACAGGAAAGAAAATTTTCTTTCTTATTTTCTTTATGTTTAATAGCTTAGCATTATTGTTAACTTCAATCTTTATATGGTTTATTCTTTTAATATTTCATAAATTCATATATGTATGCATTTATTGTATCCATGCCCAAATCCACTGTCACTTCCCCTGACATTCGCTACATAAACTTCAATATACTTTCTTCATTCCTATCTTTGCATCTGTATCTATACATGTCTATACACTACTATTTAGTCAACTATACTGCTTACTGAATACTGATAGAAGAAAAAATACTCCTTAAGTAATCTAATACCTTATCAATGAAAACATGTTGCCTAAAAATAATTCCTAAAGTCTGTGCTGTATACAATTGTGTCATCAAATACTTGCTTGACTTGTTTGAGCCCTGGGATCAATTTGACTTTCTGCAAGCTACTTAAAAATATACAGAAACTATTTATGTTTATGTTTTGAGATTAATACTCAACATGATTTTGTGGTTTTTAATAGATCAAGTATGCATCCACTCTTCTCTGAAGTCCATTTAATAGTAAAAATCAGTCAACATAAAATTGCTACTTTTCTTAATGTTGTGTTAATGAGCCTGAGAGAAAGCAACTTAAGGGTGGCATATTGTGTTATGTTTCACATTAATAATGTGAACAAATTAGGTGGCATCATTTAGGTCTAAACTTTTTGTGTTTTATTTATTTTATTTTATGAGTGGATTTTGCCTATTTGCATGAATGTGCACTACTTGCATATAGAGGACAGAAGAGAATCCTCTAGAACTAGTGGCATTAAGAGGTATGACTCAACACATGGTTGGGCACAACTAAACCCAGGTCCCCAGGAAGAGTTACAAATAGTCTTATCTCCTGATCCATCATGACAGCCCCTATGAAAGAGTAACTGTTAACATAAATTCTTCCAAATAGAGACAATATTTTACACACATAAATACATATAAAAATTTTGTCATGATTAGGGAATATTACAATTTTTTTAAACCCCAGGATACCTTGTTGTCTGAAAGTAGCATCATTGTGTAAAGGAAGGATATGCCTCTGGTTAAAGGATACTATTGGAATTGAAGGAGAATGTACCATGTATCTAAGTGATTGAGGGGATGGATGGTCCAGTAAGATAACATCTATCATCCCAAAACTATTTCATATAGAATCAGTGAAGTATTCCTTAGCAGGAAATAATGGTTACTGAGTTCGGCAATGAGGTCTTAAAACAGTTTCCTAAACACACTGTCCCAGGACAAATCTCTCAGAAAAGTTACTAGAAAAATACATACATCAGCTCCCTGTGCAATTAGCTCATTCAAAAGACTATTGATTTCATTCCTCTATAAAAACACTAGCTTGCATGTATAATAAACTTTTTCAATTTAAGAGAAGCTTAAAGAAAGCCTTTATATCTGCTATCATGTGGTAGTAATTCATTGAACACACCCTAATTTTCCAATTTTGGCTGGTGCAAAAAGAAGTTGCTAACAAAAAATTTAAAACTTATATTGACCAATATTTAAATAAATATTAAAAAATAGTGCCAATTTGGTAGTCCAAAACTAAGGAGTCAACAATAAAATCATATTTGAGCAAGTAACATAGTACATGCTAAGCAAGTTGTATGTAAATTTCCAGAATATGTAGGTATGTATGTATGTGCATATATATGTATACACATACACACATATATATATATGTATATGTGCATATATATATATATCAACAATTTATTGACAAGGAGGAACTGAATTTGAGAGAAAGTAAGGCAATATACGTGGGTTGCAGCATTGATTCGAGGAAAGAGAAGGGCAAAATAATGCAATTTACATTTTAATCTCAGGAGCATTAATAGTCAGCTAAAGACATGTGACATTGTGTGTAAGATCTAATTTGATGTCACCTGAATATCAGAACTAGCAGAATAGAAAACACAGTAGATGGGATAATAGGGGGGGGGTGGGAGGAGGGGAGGGAGAGGGAACTGGGATTGACATGTAAAGCAAGCTATTTAAAATTAAAGTAATAAAAAAGTTTTAAAAAAGACTTAAAAGGCCGGGCGTTGGTGGTGCACGCCTTTAATCCCAGCACTTAGGAGGCAGAGGCAGGCGGATCTCTGTGAGTTCGAGGCCAGCCTGGTCTACAAAACCTAGTTCCAGGACAGCCTCCAAAGCCACAGAGAAACCCTGTCTCGAAAAACCAAAAAAAAAAAAAGACTTAAAAATTCCTATATTTGGGAAAAAAATAAGATATTTGCAAATATTGTACATCAACGTTGGGACTCCTATAAAAGAAGAGTAGAGTATATATTGCTTCCATTTGAGTAGCTTACATTCTTCTCACAATTGTAAATTATGGCTATTGTACAGTAGGTGTCATTTACTCATTGCTTTCACATAAGGTACAGGGCAAAGACATCGTTGTGCATTAGGAGTAGGCAAATATCAGTGAAATTGCAAGACACACACTTCCATAAAGGCTCATATTAGATTTTGTGATTTTAAAATAAAGCATTTTGGAAAGAATAATATTTAGAGTACTATGATGAAAAATGAAATGAAAATGTTCTCAAACTATCTCACAGTCAAATACATGATAATACAGACAAATATAAACTTTTGAAAACTAATGTAGTAGAAGACATTTTCTACATGAGCTAAAATAGTAAGTGAAACATAAAATATCCAAAATTATCAGAGCAATCAGGAAGACGAACCATGTTTTAAAAAGCCTGGTGGAGAAAGTAAAAGAGCTTAAATTTCCAGATTCCCCTGACTAATTGAGGAATGATGGGCTAGTTTATTTTGCACAGAAATTTCAAGAAAGGGCAGTGTTAAAACTAAATATGCAGACTAGGAAATTTGGGAAAGGAAATCATGTGAAGCTACTCCATGAGAAGCTTTCATTTTATTTATTTTTATTTAAATAAAAACAATCTTATTTTACATACCAATCCCAGTTCCTTTTCCCTCCTTTCTTCCTATTCCCCCATCCCCCCATCCCAACACCTATCCACTCTCCATGGTTAGTGAGGCCTTCCATAGAGGATCATCAAAGTCTGTAACATCATTTTGGGGCAGAACCTAAGCCCTTCCCCATGGATCTAGACTAAAAGAGTGTCTGTCCATTGGAAATAGGATCCTAAAACCCATTTGTGCACTAGTCATAAAGACTGGTTCCACTGCCAGAGACTGCATAGAATTCCCAGCCCTCCCACAACTGATACCCACAGTCAGCGGGTCTGTTTTCAATCTATGTTAGTTGCTCAGCTATCAGACTGGAGTCCATGTGGTCTGACTTGCTTGGGTA